TAGTACTAAAGCCTCAGGTATAGAGTAGTTCAGCAGCAGACAAATGCTTGTTGAAAGAGAAGTCCAGAAACAGTAACAATTTGTAATCTCCACTGCTGGCGTCTTTGGACTCCTGTGCACGGATTGCACAAATTTCCAGCCAGTGGCACATACTCACCACTTCCTTAAAGCCCCCGGGCCCCCCCTGATAGTGGCGATTGGGAGTAACCTGATGTAAACAGACACATGTCCGTTTACATCCGACTCTCCATAGACCAACACGGGTCCGGTAATTTCAGTTTTGTCCTCCACTGCAAGATGGAGGGGAAAAAAAGTGGACGGACACGGACGTCACAACACTGACATTTGTTCCGAACTGCTCCAACTGGGGATCCGTGCATGGATCCTCTGCTGTTCGAAACTGAAGGTGTCCGTATGAACGAGGCCTAATACACTCCACATACAGCCATTAGAATGCAGCGCACACAGTGGTGAACACACTTCGCTGAAGAAAGCACCAACCTGTGACATGCCCCTGATAAGAGGGCCATAAAGAAAGCTTTAGTCACATGACTTCAAAATAAAACTTCATTAAAAAAAATTAAAGAAAAAGTACCAAACAATTATATTTACATAAAATAAATGCAGTTGTGGTATAAAACTATTGTGTTACTGTGGGCTTAAGTTTATGTTCGCTCACATACTTTAACTGCTCGGTTATGTCTAGTGTAGCTGAGTAAAGGACTTACCTGATCCCTGCCCCTGCATGCTCCAAGACCACCCACAGCCTCTCACCTCCACCCAGTTCCACAAGCTGGAGCATAGGGGAGAGAGAAGAGCACCAAGCACAGGATGAGCACGGGGATGGGGGGGGGAATCAGGTACGTAAAAGTCTTCCACACAGCTCCTCTAGACATAAACAGTTAACCCTTGCAGTGCAGGGGCATCCCCTCTTCAAGTGGAGTTACTTCCCCCCGGAGAACACAGCCTTTTAATAATTAACAGGTGATAAATGGCAGAAGACTCCAGACACCTTGCCTTGGACAACATGTCCAGTATCAGTGCCAGGTCTGGGGAGGAGGACTGCTGATCTGTCACTACATAAAGCTGATCACTGCCATGTGATTTCCTATGTCATCTGCCATAAGTCAGTGATTGCTGTATTCTAGAATAGAAATCATTCTACGGTGAAAGGAGATGGACTCTGACACGAGGAACACCAAACAGCCGGAATGAGAACATTGCAGCAAGGAGCCGGCAGGCCAAAAGTGTCACACTGCCGAGTAGAGAGCCCAGACCCCGGGGAAGGACATGAGCCCACCTCGATGACCTTCTCCTTCTTCTTCTGGTCCGTCTTCTTCGTAGGCTGCGGCGCCTGAGGCTTTTTAGGTGGCATTGCAAAAGAAGAAGCGCTATTCCGCCGCCACCGCCGCACACGAGGCCTCGCTTTACGGCTAAAGTAGCGGTGACGTCATCACATAGACCCCGCGAGAGTGACAGCAACGGCAGGGCTGACCAGGACTTCATTTCCCATGATGCCGCTCGGCTGAACGGGACACGTGGTTCGTGTGGTGAGGAATTAATACGTCAAGGGGGTCAAAAGAACTCTTAATAGTTAGTGTGTAGAAACGGAGGGGTCCCAATTGAGGCTGCGTTCACACCTGACCGTTTTGTAGGGCGTTCTACGCTCGACGAACGCTCTACAAAACGGTCAAAAATATAAATTGCATTGTAGTCAATGCCCTCGTTCCCACCTCGCCGTATTTCCGCCCGTCCCTGACGCCCTAAAAAACGGCCCACGCCTGAAAAGGTCCCGGGACTACTTTGGGCCGTTTTGTAGGGCGTTTTCCATTTGGATACTGCCAAGTAGCCTTTGGAATCGCGCGACGGTTGCGCGACTTTTTTACCTCGAATCGCGGTAAAAAAAACGTGTGACGGTCGCGCGACAGACGCGCATATTACAATATGCCTAGGTGTGAATGGGGCCTGAATGTTATATACGTGCGTCTGCTGCCTAGAAGCCAGACTCAGTCTCGTGGGGCTTTCCATGACACGGTGAAGGATTCAGGGGTTCCAATTATTCAGCTGAATGATGTTCTAGAACAAGCAAGATTTGTATTAATTTAACCAGTTGACATTGGCAGGCTATAGAGCCGCCGATCGTCTATATGGGAAACACCCGGTAACGGGTGTTTGCTTTGCACGGGTCTTTTTTGCCCGTGCGCGCCCGCGCAGAAAAAAATGGCGTCTGGAGACGGCAACCCGCCATTGCAGCAGTGCTGTCCGTCCGTTTTTTTTACAACAGGTGGACGGCAACTGGTTAAGCTACCAAACAAAAATGGTCATTTAAAGGAGAACTATGGGGTTAAGGATTTTCCCCATAGTTCTCATTAAGGTAACGGGAGGACACAAACTAGCGTCCTCCCGTCACCCTAGGCTCAGTATACCGCAAGCTACAGTTCGCGGTATACTGAGACGCCGCAGCTGAAGCGGATGCCGACAATTGTGCCGGGATCCGCCCAGCTGCGTGAGTGACAGCTGGCTCTGCCTATCTAGAGGCAGAGCCAGCTGTACCCTCCCCTGTCCGTTCCGCCAGTCAGCGCTGCCGGATCGGAGGGGGGAATCCAGTCCCTCCCCTGTCACGACAGAGAGCCGTGACAGGATGGAGAGGTGAGCGAACGCCGGTATGTGTTCGCTCACTTCCCGATCTACTGAGCCGACCTGTGACAGTCTCACTGTCACAGGCCGGCTAGAACTATGAGGTGAGTGAAAAGCACTCACCTCATAGTTCTCCTTTAAATATACACGGAAGGTTTATAGCAGTATTAAACTCTCAATCTTTTTTAATAATGAACCCAGATCAAACTAATACACATTGCACAGCAAGGTTTTTCTTTACACTTTTGTCGAAAACATAATTATCATGTTTCTAAACAGCTGGCTCCAACTCTCTCAGCTCTGCTTCCCTAAACTTCTTGTCCAGTGCAGTACAAATGACAGCACAGTCTCCAGCAGCTGTCCATCTACCAGCTTGGAGGAGAGAGGAAGGGGGATCAGAGAGCAAGGGAATGGCTTGGCCTGCTGTGCCTTGGTGTTTGTTGAGACACACAGAGCTTACTAGCCCACACAAGTGGGGCTCCATGGGACCCTGCAAGGGAAAGGAGCCACCCAAAACGGGACTTCAGGACCAGTGCTTATTGGACCGGCTGATTTTACAGGAAACTAAAACTTCAAACATCATGAAGCAGCATCCGCTGTAAGTGATTTAACCTGCATTTCAAATAGCTCAAAAACCTTTTGAAAGTAAACTAAAAAAGAACAAACTGCTGACTGGAAGGCTTTCTATGACAGAATAGAGCAGTGATGGCGAATGTTTGTGAACCCGAGTGCCCAAACTGCAACGCAAAATCAATTTATTTATCTCAAAGTGCCCACACTGAAAATAAGTTCAGCATCACTGCCTTGGGCAAAATAGGTAAACACACATATTCAAACATTTATACCCTCAACAAAACACATATGTAATTAAACACACACATATCACACACATTAAAACACATATCACACACTCATTAAAAAACACGTAATGAAACACACATCACACACACATTAAAACACACATATCACACACTCATTGAAAAAACACACACATGATAAACGTAATGAAACGCACAGACGCATTAAAACACACACGTGATGAACCTCGCACATCACTCGCACATTAAAACACACGCAGCACACACTGAATAAAACACACACACCACACACTTATTAGAAACACACACACATATCTTCACTAAAAAATACATCACACACACTCATTCAAACACACACTCAATAAAACACATAAACAACTATTAACAATAAAAATGAATAATTAAAAAATGTTTCCCCTCCTCCTGCTTACCTGTTTTTCAGGGAGGGGGCTGCATGCCTGGGGTCCAGTGGGGCACTGGAGGCTTATCCCTGGTGGTCCAGTGGCGGATCAGTGTGATCTGCATCTCTGGCTGATTCAGACCATACTAATCACTCCTGCCTGTGAGCAACGACACTATGAGAGAGCAATCAGTATGGTCTGCATCAGCCAGAGATGCAGATCACACTGATCCTCAACTGTACCACCACGCAAGGATTTTCATTTAATATATTGCCGGTTCAGCCATATATCAAATGGGATCAGGGCACCTGCCAGGTTTAAAAATGCCCACTGCTGCTCGCGGAAGATGAAGAACCCAGAAGTAGATGGAAGTGCCGTTGAGGGAGGAGCACAGCGCTGGAGGAGATCACTTTGGCAGGAGGTGCTGTGCTCATTTTTTTTTTACTCACTTTTTTCTACTTTATTATCATTTTAATACCAATACTTTAACTGCTTGAAGACCAGGTGTTTAGATCCCCATTTACACCTGGTCTTCAAGCAGCCAGGCCATTTTTCAGTGTTCAGCGCTGCGGTACTTTGACTGACGTTTATTCCGTCACGCAACGCTGTACTGAAATGAATTTTATACCATTTTTTTGGGGACAGATAGAGCTTTCTTTTGGTGGTATTTAATCACCACTGCGGGTTTTATTTTTTACTATATTCAGGAGAAATTACTGAAAATTTTGAGAAAAAAACGTGTTTTTTTTACATTATGCTATAAAACAACTAATATTACCCACTTTTTTGGTAAAATATAAAAGATGGGGTCACGTCGGGTAAATAGACACCAAACATGTCAAGCGTAAAAATTGCGCGCACTCGCAAAATCGCAAAAAACTAGCATACCCAAAATTGGCCATAGGCGACGCTTTAAAAGCTTTTACCGCTCATCAGTTTAGTGTTATCAGTGATTGATGGCCCTAGAACTATTGCTCTCATTCCGACGTCCGTGGCGATATGTAACATGTGCGGCGTAATGGGTACAATCGTCGTTTTCGCAGGTATGCGCACCTGACGCATGTTTACATGCGTGTATGTAGGGGTGGGGACTTTAAAAAAAAAATTTGTTTTTTTTTATTCTTTTTTGTGTAACTTTAAAAAAATTGGGGGGGAAACTTTAAATTTTTGTACTATTTTTTTTTT